TATACCAGCAAAGAAGGGACAGCTGACTAAAGTTCTGTATTTGGCAGAAACCAGGGGTTATTTCCTGCCGGAGCCCGGCGGAGCGGCGCTCCAGCAGTAAGGAGCCCGTGGCAGGCCCCCTGCCATTCCTGGCTTGCCTGGGAAGGCAGACAGGCCAGGGAAGGCCTGCAGAGCCCTCCTCCCACCTGGGTGGACTTAAATGCCTTTCCCTTCCCCAGATGGGAAGGGAGAGAAAGCCATTCTAAACATGTGGGGCACCTGGAGAAGATCGGGCAGGGAACCCAGGCATGCTTGCATGCCTGCCCTTTGTCAGGGGGTGTGGCATATGCAAATGAGTTGTGCAAATGAGCTCCTGCACCTCTTTTTCTGTGAAATGACCCCTGGCAGAAACAGATGTAGCAAGATCCAACAAAGAAAGGATTTGCTCACTCAACATCTCTCACAGGAAAAAACGGACTCTTTGTGCCTTAAGAGTTTCCATATAAATCCAGCTTCATTACTTGGAAGACTGTTTCTGTACAACAGGGTTGGAAGAAATAGGTCTGATTTTTTGTCTTTATTTTAACGAAAATACACTATTGAAGCGAATTGCAATTGGTTTTAATCAATATCTGGTCACCAACAATGGTCCGCAGTGAAGGATTTTAAATGGTATGTTGTGAAGGAGAGACCAGACAGCCAACCACTATTGACCCCAACTGGCTCTGGCCAATTCCTTACCAAATCAGCAAGATTCGGCTGGGTTCCCCCCATGAACATTCGGTGCTTGCCGATGGCTTTCACCCAGTCATCGGCTGCTTTGTACAGATCTTCTCTGACATTGTCCTGCAGATGGTGCCTACGGAAAGAGAAAGTTTCGCATTCCTTGCATCAAGACATACTCGCAAGCAGGGGTCATTTCCTGCAAGAGCGCACAGGAGCGGAGCTCCAGCAGTAAAGAGTCCAGGGGGCGGGCACATACAACAAGCCCCACCTCCTGCTCCCAGCAGCCCTCAGTCAGAACAAGAAGCAGCCAGGTAAGCTGCAGAGCTCCCCCTGGCCCCCCGGTCCAAAACAGTCCAGTGGCACGTTTAAGACTACGTTTTATTCAGGTACAAGCTCTCCCTCCTCTGTGAGGGCAGATCTGCATGTTCCCCCCCCCCCAATAGCTAACAATCCAAAACAGTCCAGTGGAGCCTGAGTGGTGGGTGTTGCCTTCTGACACACTTCCGGTGATGCAAATGAGTTATGCAAATGAGCTCCTGCACCTCTTTTCCTACAAAATGACACCTGCTCGCAAGATACAAGGGTTCTTCTTCTTTCATTTAAAGTACTGGCCAAACCTCTAAAATCAGGACAAATCTTCCACTAAAAGATGCTTCAAAGAGCATCAGACAGTTTTTTTAAGCAGTATCGAAGATATTTTAGGAGGATTACAGGGGGAGCTCAAATGGGTCATCCATCGCTCAGCCTGAAAATCAACTCAGAAACTCCAACTGGTCCAGAATGCTGCGGCTCAGCTGTTAACAGGAGTGTGCATATTACTCCCATCCTGCAGACGCTCCATTGGCTGCCCATCTGTTACCGGGCTCAGCTTAAGGTATTGGCTATCCCCATACAAAGCCCTTCGTGGCCCTGGGCCTTTTTGCTTATAGGACTGCCTCTCTCCCTCTGCTCCACCACGACAACACTGCTCAAGTCAGCAGGGGCTTCTGTAGGGGCCAAACGGCAAATGGGCAAAATCAACCACTGCCCGTACCCGTGCCTTCTCTGTGGTGGCCCCGGCCTTGTGGAACAGCCTGCCTGAGGAGGTCAGGAAAGCTCCGCCTCTCCTGGACTTCTGCAGACCATGCAAAACCAGACTATTCAAGGGGGCTTTTCTGTGCAGGTGATAAGGTTGCACTGCACAAAATGGTTTTCCAAATGTCCTTGGATAAATGATTAGAAGAAGAAAAGAGGAGATTGGATTTATATCCTGCCCTTCACTACCCAAAGGAGTCTCAGAGTGGCTTACAAACTCCTTTCCCTTCCCCTCCCCACAACAGACACCCTGTGAGGTAGGTGGGGCTGAGAGAGCTCTCTTGAGAGCTGCCCTTGAGAGAACAGCTCTGAGAGAACTTGTGACTCACCCAAGGTCACACCAGCAGCTGCATGTGGAGGAGTGGGGAATCAAACCTGGTTCTCCCAGTTTAGAGTCCATGCTCCTAACCAGTACACCAAACTGGCTCTAAACTGATTAAGGACTGTGGTCTACACCAGGCATGTCCGATTTCGAACAGGTAGTGATCTATTTTTTCCGGCCAAAAGTGTCGGTGATCTACCGCCATGAAAATAAAGTTTCAAATTAGTTTCAGATTTTAACCCACTAAAGTCGGGTACCACCAAACAATCATCAACAAAACCCCAAACACCTGTCCAGCAAAGCAGGAGACCAAGTGGGGCTGGTGATCTACCTCTGACCCCTCCGTGATCTACTGGTAGATACCTGGCATGTATGGGCAACTGTTGACCTTGCCAGGTGTAAACCACCTTGGGATCCTAAAGGTGGGATTCCAATCTTTTAAGTAACTGAACACTAAACACAGAGAGGTATGGAACTCCCTCATGGACTTACAGCATCATGGCTCTCCTCCAGTGTTCCTGCTAAGCTGAATTGTCCCTAGGTGAATACCCATAATATTCTGGGAGGAATATCCTAAACTACAATATCCTGGAAGGAAGGGTGGTACCCATACATATTTACTGATCATGGACTGAGCACTGTGGCCTATGAGGGCAGTCCAAAACACATGAGCATTACTGCATAAAAAGTACAAGATGACCCTGAGTCCATAAGCAAAGCTGAATTGGAACCAGTGTTCCCTCTAAGGTGAGTTAGTGTGAGCTAGCTCACAGTTTTTTAACCTCCGGCTCACACATTTTCGCCTTCGCTCAGGAAGGGTGGCTCCAGAGCAAACTAATTTATGCAGTAGCCAAGTAGCTCGCTCGCAATTTTAATGCCCGTAGCCCACAAAGTAGAATTTTTGCTCACAGGAGTCCACAGCTTAGAGGGAGCATCCTTGTGCCTAAAATAAGGCAATGAACCTGGGAGAGGATGTCGGAAGCACCCACCTGCTCTTCAGTCTCTTGCTAATGAAGAACATGGCCGCCGCCCCCACGTATTTGGCAAAGAAGCCCTCCAGTGTGCCGAACTTGCCCTCACGGACAATGTAATCAAAAGACGCCAGGGCCTCGCTAGGCGTGCGATAAACATTGGGCGAGATGAGGTGTACCAGCCAGTCGTCCACCCATTTCCGCCACTTCATTTCCTCCCTAAAAACAAGGAAGAGTAGAGCTGTTTTTAAAAAGTGGAGAGTCGAGCATTGCTAACCTCCAGGTGGTAGCTGGAGGCCTCCTGAGATTGCAGCAGATCTCCAGGCGACAGATATCTGTTCACCTGGAGAAAACGGTTGCTATGGAAGGTGGGCTCTATGACGTTATACCCCAGAGAAGTCCCTCCCCTCCCCAAAGCCCGCCCTCCTAAGGCTCCACCCCCCAAATCTCCAGGTATTTCCCAACCTGGAGCTGGCAACCCTAAGTCAGGGGCAAACGCAATGGGAACAGGTGCTAATCGGGTGAGAGGCATCCTAAATGAGGGCTTCTCCCCAAGACAAAAAGCACAGAGCTGCTCTCTCCGCACAGGAAGCATTTTCTTACTGTCATTCCATATGCGGTTTAAGAACAGAACGCTGCAAGACTTGGGAACGTTTTGCCACAGTTAGTTCACAGGATTCATAAAGTCTGTGGTATGGTATGTATGATCATTTGTGATCAGCCAGCAAACCTCCATCAAACAGAGTTTCAGCAGTCTCCCACCCCCACCAGAGATCACCGCCTGATAGAAACGGGCATGCTGAAGAAGAAGAAGAAGAAGAAGAAGAAGAGAAGAAGAGATTGGATTTATACCCCGCCTTTCACCACCCAAAGGACTCCTTTCGTGGCTTACAAACTCCTTTCCCTCCCCCTCCCCACAACAGACACCCTGTGAGGTAGGTGGGGCTGAGAGAGCTCTGACAGAAACTGCTCTTTTTCAAGAACAGCTCTTATCAGAACTACGGCTTGCCAAAGAAGAAGGCGGAACATGAAAAACTAGCACAGTTTGCTTGTGGATCTGGAAGCTCATTCCGGTGCTTGCACTCCATACTGTGGTGAGTACAAAACAGGGCTTGGGCATGATGGCTGAACTCAGCTCCTCTGACAAAGCTCTGAAGAGAAGCATGAAGGGTAACATCGACATGAACACCCCCTCCGCATCAAGGTAATACCTACGTCCTCGCAGCTTTGATGGGGTAAAGGCGCATCGTCTCCTGCTCATCCAACATGAGCCAGTATTTATTGCCGTATTCCGTCACTTCTTTTCCCCGCTCGTTCAGGGCTTTCATAGAAGGGTAATAGGACACAATCTCGTCCAAATTCTTCCTAGAAGAAAAAGACAACGGGCAAACAGGGGCGCTTGAATTTCCCCAGGGGTCCGAAAAAAAGAGGTCCTCCTGAATCCGAGACTGCGGCCATTTTAGGCCACTTCTACCCAATCGTGTCTTGGCATTGTGCCGTGCCATACCTCAAATGGAGAGGGACGCTCTCTGCAGACTGCATCCGCCAGTCTTTGCATGGCAATGCCTGCCACCAATGCTCCCTCTCTAAGCTGTGGAGTCTTGTGAGCAAAAATTCTGCTTTCTGAGCTACTGGCATTAAAGTTGTGAGCGAGCAATTTGGCTGCTGCATAAATTTGCTCTGGAGCCCTCCTTCCTCAGCTAAGACAAAAATGTGTGAGCCGGAGGCTAAAAAACTGTGCGCTAGCTCACACTAACTCACCTTAGTGGGAACACTGGAGGAGAGCCAGGATGCTGTAAGTCCCTGAGGGAGTTCCATACCTCTCAGAAGGCAACACCCACCGCTCAGGCTCCACTGGACTGTTTTGGATTGCTAGCTATTGGGGGGGGGACACATGCAAATCTGTCCTCACAGAGAATGGAGAGCTTGTACCTGGATAAACCTTGGCTTTAACGGTGCCACTGGACTGTTTTGGATTGCTAGCTGGGGGGAGGGAACGCACAGATCTGTGCAGAAAGGAAGGAAGGAGAGAAAGAAAGAGAAGGAGGAGGGAAAAAAGAGAAGGAAAGAAGGAGGGATACTCTCTGTCATCTGGAGATCAATTGTCATCTGGAGATGACACATCTTCAGGACCGCCTTGCCTGGTATAACCCCAGAAGAGCCCTGTGCTCTGCAGGAAAGAACTTACCGGTGGTCCCTGCCCCCCAAGAGCTATCCGGCTGTCCTCAACCAGAGCCAGGATGTTTTCCGCCCCGGCTCCAGCCTGGGGGAACTCTGTGCCGAATATCAACCATGCCCCGCGAGACTTATTGCAGTTCCGCAGGGCCCGTAAGGCAGAGAGACTTGATGGTGCTTCCCCCCCCCCCCTTTTATTGACTCTCACCTGCTTTCAACATTTGGTGCTTCTGGAGCATGTGCAGGCCTCATCAGACTGGGATTTTTGGAGGGGGTTAATTTACAGTCATACCGGGGGAGTCCCCCAAGTAGGTACAGACCTGCCTTGTTTGTGGCACAGGGTTCAGTCCCCGATAGTACAATCTGGTGCAGTTTCTCCAATCTAAATGGGTTGGACTTGGGAGTAACTCTCCCCAGAATCACACTGCTAGCCTTGCATAGCAGACACATACCCAAGCGCTCAGTGCCTTAAAGAGCTACTCCAGGGCTTTTTTGACTTCGGTAGTTTGGCTTAAAGTCACCTACGCAGATCTTCTCCAAAAGAAAATTGGAGATTCAACCTCGACTGCAGCAGAAGATTCCGAGGGGGTCAGCAAACAATTTTTTTGTTACAGAACCACTCTGAGAACACCGCGAGCAAGAGGGCCTATGCCCCGGATCACAGCTTCCAGACTCCCACTGCCACAACAGACCCCTCCAGACCTCTCTTTTTCCTATAGGGATTCAAGCAGCACTCCTGCAAGGGCTGACTTGAGTTCAAGATCTGACCAGCTGGGGACCCTTATAAGCGCGAGTATGACGCCAAGTTCATGCACAGCCGCATGGCTTATTTGGGTGGCAGTGTTTTGCTGCCTGTTTCTGCAGCACAGACTGGAATAAGTAAATGACAGCCTGGGGTGGAAGGATCAGGCGTTTACTTCCTTACCTGGAAATGAGATGGGTTTTAAGGGCACTGATGATCACCGAAGAGTCATTCAGTTGCTGGAGGGAAAACAAAACAACCAACCAGGATTATAGCAAACTTCTGGAAGCATTCAAGATCTATCCAGAGGGCACTCTCTAAAGGGGAAGCTTTATTCATTAGGGCTGCCAGATCAGGGCTGGGAAACACCTGGATATTTTGGGGTGGAGGGGGCAGGAACCCCAGCAGGGTACAATGGCTAGAGATCTGAAGGCCCAGAAAAAAAACAGAAAAATTCAGAAAAAACCCATCCCCCTGTTCCCCCCCCCCCGTTTTTTTCTTGAAGCCTTTTTTTGTTTTGTTTCGAAAAATTGGGAAAACTGAAAAAAGAAAAGAAAAAAATTGATTATGGAACATTTTATTTTAACATGATGAATAAAATATTTTAAGACAAGGTGTTCAAATATTTTCCAAATCATTTCTAAAAAAATATGTATGGTATCAGATTGATCTAATTTCTGTGCACTGAGGACAAGCAAGTCCTAGGTTACAAACTGAACTCTCCAATGCAAGAACAAGATGCATTTCTTCCTTTAGGAGGTGCAATGGAGTTCCGGCTGGCTCCCAAGTTGGCCACGCCCAGCAGGAACTCATTAGCATAATAGGCCACACCCAACAGCAGAAACTCATTAGGATTGGCTACATTAGGGGTGTGTGGCCTAACATGCAAAGGAGTTCCCTGCATGCGCAGGGAAGGCTCTTTTACTTTTAGGGTGATTTAAATATCGCCCCTTTTCTTTTTTCAACTTTTTAGATATTTCTGCACTCCTGGAGATTGCCCCAAGTGTGCGGGATAATCTCCCTGCCCCCCCAGGTGCCCCCGATGTGCGGATTGAGATATCCGCACACAAGGGGGCGCCTTCGCTATTAGATATATAGATAAATAAAATTGTAATAGTGGAAGAGCTTCAGGATCTCCTGAGTATGAGATTTCGAGAGCCAAAGCTCCCTTTGTCAGATCCAAGTTGGAATGGAGATCCTTGAGCCCTTCTGCCCCACTCAGGAGGTGGGAAGGGTGTTGCAAAGAAAACAGTCACGAAGATGCAGAGGTCAATGCCAAAATGGGCTGGACTTGAAGCTAGCTGTTCTACTGCCAACAGGCACGGCCACCATACAAAACTATCCCTAACTAGGGGTTGGTTGCAATTATAAAAAGAGGGCCTCACACATGGCAAATTCAAATATGGAAGGAAATCCGTGCTGCTCCTCCAAGGCTGTGTACTTTGCATCAACCGGGCCCAGATTCTGCAAACAGCAGGGATTGTAAAAATTGCAAATATTTGCTGGGTGGTGTTGTTGTTCAGTCGCACAGTCAAGTCCGACTCTTTGCGACCCCAAGGACCACATCACGCCAGGCTGGGTACATCCCCCGACTCAAAGCAAGGAGGGATTTGGTAAAAGCCCTTCAGGCTTCTGGGTCTTTATAGTTTCCAAAAAGGCCCGCGGAAGAGAAAACAACCTCCAGCAAGAATATGGGACACTAGCAGTGTTCCCTCTAAGCTGAGTTAGTGTGAGCTAACCCACAGATTTTTAGCCTCTGGCTCACACATTTCTGTCTTATCTCAGGAAGGAGGGCTCCAGAGCAGACTAATTTATGCAGTAGCCAAATTGCTCGCTCACCACTTTAATGCCAGTAGCTCACAAAGTAGAATTTTTGCTCACAAGACTCCACAGCTTAGAGGGAACATTGGACACTAGATATTTCGTCTAACAAGATGAACACCGATTATTCATTCAGGCTTTGCTCAAGCTCCGTCAAAATACACCAGGAGAAAGCAGAGACCGCTTAGCATGCCACCAATTAAAACTCTCTTTGCAAATGGGTAAAAATGCACTTTTTAAAAACAACGTCTCAGACACAAATGGCTGCTATTTACAGAGGGCTACCAGTGAATCGAACTGTAGAGGAACAAAACCTAAAGGCCCATCCCCCATGCAGAAAAAGAAGCAATTCAGGGCTTTTGGGTTTGGGTTTTTTTTGAAAAAGGGGTGCTAAAACTCTCAAGAGAGAAACGAAGCTTTCAATCTGTACACTGAAAACTCACGAGCTTTTTAAACGTTTTTTAAAAGCATTTTGCTGAAGCGGTTCCGGAACGCCATTCCAGCAGGTTCCCCCAAGAAAAAAAAGCCCTGACGTAATCTAAATTCCGAACACGGAAAGGGAGGGAGGGAGGAGGAAAGAGGCAAGGAAGAAAACCGTGCAAAGAGGGGAGGAGACGACACGGGACGAGCGTCAGCCTGCTACAGGCATGACACGATCAGCCCACAGGTCAGAGCAGGTGAAAAATCCAAAGAGCCTGGCCGGCTATCAGCCAAGCCGGAGACTTACCAGGGCACTTCCAACGTTGACCAGAAGAATAGGCACCTTTCTGTAGGAAGAGAACTTAATCTCCTTCCGCATGACCGGATTCACCTCCACGATTTCGTAAGGCAGGCCGTGATAGTCGAGGAAGGCCCGCACCTTGCTGCAGAAGGGGCAGGTCTTGTACTGGTACAGGGTCAGCTGAAGGGTTGCTTCTGGGAGCTGGAGGGAAAGAACTTGGGTCACTGATCTGGCTGAAGGGATACACACACACCCTCCCCATACGATGCTTAAAAATGTCTCAAAATAAGTCCTTCTGTAGTTCAAGACCCACTTGAATGTGAACCACACAAAACCCAGCCTCTTGATGCCAGATGTAGCAGGGCTGCTTGCAGGTAGTTAGCAGCAAGGGGGGAGAAACCCTTCTGCTTATGCTCAGAGACTACGAATAAGGACACTCCCGGTTTAAATCTTGCCTCCATCTTGAACTCCCTGGGTGGCCTTAGACAAGGGCTGGCCAGCCAGT